ACACACACGCACACGCACACGCGCACACACGCACACACGCACACACGCACACACGCACACGCACACGCACACGCACGCACACACGCACACACGCACACACAGACCCACCGGCCGGGGTTGACACTGACCGCGCCCCAGCGCGCCACCACATGGGTGGAGCTGGTGGCCCTGACCGGGCGCAGCAACAAGACCTTCATCCGGAACCCGGTGACCTTCTGGGCCCGGATGGCCCAGACCGCCCTGACGGCCCTCATGGTGGGGGCCCTCTTCTGGCGCATTGAGCTGACACAGTCGGGCGCCCTCGGCCGCAGCGGCGCCCTCTTCTTCTTGATCACCTCGCTGGTCATGTCATCGGCCATGAGCTTCGTCCTGACCTTCCCGGTGGAGCGGTCCATCCTGCTGCGCGAGCAGATGAGCGAGATGTACTCCACCACCACGTACTACTGGTCTAAGTTCCTGAGGTGCGTGCGCGCGCGCGCATGTGTGTGTGTGAGGAGGCGGAGAAAAATGCCGTGGGGGGGGGGACAGGAGGAGAGGGGCTGCCAAAGTGCGGCGCATACGTCGCCCGAGGCTCGCGCGCTAACATTCTCGCTTTTTTGATGGCCGGGGGCATTGCGCACACTCGCACATGGCCACCGGGGGGGCCCCGCTCTTCTCGCCCCCTGCCGCATGGGATGGCCGTCCTGCCGTGCGACGACATATACGTGCCCATGCGTGCCACATGCGCCGCCGCCGCGCGGCCGCCTGCCAGTGAGCTGCCCTGGTCCTTCCTCTTCCCGATCATCTTCACCCTCATCGCCTACTTCATGCTGGACCTGGCCCTGGATGCGGGGAAGTTTTTCATCTTCCTATTTGTCCTGTGGATCTTGACCAGCCTGTCGGTGGGCATCGGGTGCGTGTGCCGCTGGGCTCCTCTTCCTTTTGCTTCTTGTGTGTGTGTGTGTGCGCGCGCGCGCTTCGTGCTCCGCTCGGCCGGCGACTGACACCAAGGTGACCCGGGGCGTGCCCCCTTCCGCGCACCCTTTGTGCACATCGCCGCCGCCTCTGCCCACAGTGTGGTGCTCGGGTCGGCCTTCTCCAATCCGGAGGCCGCGGTCACCGTGGCCCCGATTGTCATTGTTCCCCTGATGGTGCGCATACCTGGAGCAGCTTGCACGCGGGGGGGGGGGAGGCGGCGTGGCGGGGAGGAGAGGCATGCGCAGCATGTGTGGCCCTGGGGGAGAGGACGGCGAGAGCGGGCCCGAGGGGTGGGAGGGGCGGGGCCAGGCCAGGACAACGAGCGAGGCAAAGGGAGCAGGGGGGGGGGGAGGGACAGGAGGAAGAGGGGCGGGCGAGGGGGGGGGGGAAAAAGCAACCCTCGCACACGCACACACAGACGCTGATACACACGGCTGCCCTCTGCCGCTCTTGCCCCCAAGGTGTTCGGCGGGTTCTACATCAGCGCCGAGGACATGCCCTCCTGGCTCAGCTGGGTCCAGTACATTTCTCCGCACAAGTGGTCCTTCCAGGCGATCCTGATCAATGAGTTCCGCGGGGTCGAACTCCACTGCACGGAGAAGGAGTACATCGTCACGCCAGACGGGGCAAAGGTGCGAACAGGCCCACACACACACACACCCGCCCATTTATGTGAGCACGAGCGCGCGCGCGAGGCCGCTTTTTTAGATCCGGCATTGTGCACGGAACCGAGCGGCGGGGAGGGACAGCTGAGAGAGGGAGAGAGCGGTCAGCTCGTTGTCTATATTTTGCGGGGGTTTTATTTGCCCTTTTTCCCGTGCACGACACCGCCCCCTCGCATGTGGATGCCCATACTCACCGTTGGCGAGCCCACAACACAATGTCCGCCCCTGCGGGTGCCCCCGCTGCGCGGCCTCGCGCTGGCTGCCGGGTCTGCCCCCTTCTCCCACCCGGGGCCGTGTGTGTGTGTGTGTGTGTCTGTGGACAGATCTGCGCGGTTACCACCGGCGAGCAGGTCATCGAGCGCTTCGACATGGAGCCCACCGAGCGCTACATGTGGAAGTCCATCTGGATGCTGACCATCCTCTTTGTGTCCTTGAGAATCTGCGGCTGGCTGTTCCTCGTGTACCAGACCCGCCGTGCGACCGGCGCCGGCCGGTGGCGGCTCTGAGCGTCGGCCGCCGAGAACCTCAAGACGAGCCTGGTGTGTGTGCGCACGCGCGCACACGCGAGGGCCACAGAGAGGGCGCAAGAGACAGACAGAGAGAGAGAGAGAGAGCGTGCAGAGGGGACAAGAGACCGCCGCAGGAGCAAGGACGAGACCCAGAGAGAGGGGCTCACGCGGCGGGGAGCGCCCCCCGGCAACCAGGGCTCCTCGGTGCTGGCGGGCGGGCGGGCGCGCGCGCACACGCGCGCCCATCTGCCGACGGACCGGCATCCGTTCTGAAATAGATTCTGGCAGTCGAACCGCGCCTTTGCCGCCGGGCGTGTGGGCACTCTCGGCCGCGGGCTGGACCAAGGGGCGCGGAGGTCTGGGGCGAGTGAGGGAGGGAGGGGGGCGGGGCGAGTGCGTGCGTGCCCCACGCTCATTCTCGCCGCCCCTCTCTCCTCGGGCGGAGCGGGGATGGGCAGCAGTGCGCGCGGGGGCGGGGGGGGGGGGGGGGGGGGGGCCGGGGGGGGGGGGGGGGGGGGGGGGGGGGAGTTTCCGTGAGGGTAAGCATGGGAGCAAGCGAAGGGGAGGCCATGGGGGGGGGGGGGCTCGCGCGCCGGCGCCGCATTCAGCAAGTCGAGCAAGCCCGGGGGCGTGGGGACTGGCGGCCCCGAGGCCGGCTCCGTGGATAACACGCCGACCACCCGCCCTGCGCCCGCGGCGGCCGGGCCTGCCCGGCCGCGGACAGGATGGCCGAGACGAGAAGGGGCCGGCCGCGCCGGTGCGTCTGCGCACCTCGCTGCCCTCTTCCGGGCTGGGGTTCTCCCCCCCGCCCCCGAGGCTGCCGGTGGCATTTTCTCCGGGCCCGACCGGCTGGCGCTGGCACGAGGGGCGCGGGGGGGAGGGGGGGGGGGGGGGGGGGGGGGGGGCTCCCCCGGGGGAAAAGGGCCATTGGGTCTGTGTTCGGGGCAACCGCAGGAGCGCGCCCGGGCGGGGGCGTGCCTCCGCTGGGGCCCGGTTCCCAGGCAGCCGCGGGGCGGTGGTCTTTTGTGCGATCTGCACGGGCCCCTCGGCCGGGCGGGGGCCCCCGGGGCGCTGGGCCGATCTGGTGGGCCTCTCTTCGGCCGGTGGCCAGCCCGGGAGGGGGGGCGACGAGCGGTTTGTATACGCCCCCCTGTCCGCCCTTCGCCGCTCCCTTCCGCCCATTCCCCTTCCCCTCCCCCCCCCCCTCTCTCTCTCTCGCCCCTCCTGTGCCTCTTGTCGCGCCCACTCGCCTTTCCCCGCCCGGAGAAAGAGACACCACACAGCAACCATGGAGGCCGTCGTCTCCCAGTGCTTTGAGAGCATCCTCAGCCCGGCCGCCGGGTCCCGTGCGCAGGCCGAGGCCCAGCTGGACTCGCTCGGCAGCGATCCCGGTACCTGCGACGCGCCGTCTTTCCCCTGTCGCCGCCCTCGCCCCCGGCGCTGTTCGCTGGTCTTTGCGCGCATCCATGCGTGTGTGTATGTGTGTGTGTGTGTGTGTATGCTGACCCCGCCGCTCGCCGCCCGCCGCCCGCCGCGCAGGGTTTCCCCTTTTCTTGACTCGCGTCCTCCTGGACAAGACCTCCGCGCGGTCCTACCGCCAGGTGCGCAGGCGGAATGCCTTTGGCTGGGCACACGCGCGCACCGGGGGTCTGCGTGTGCCCCCGCTGAGCCTGTCCCCTTTCCTTTTCGCCCACTCACCCGGCTCTCCGGTGCATCTCCCCGCTGTGGGCCGTGGCTGGCGACGCACAGCTGTCGGTTACCACGCTCAAGCGCTACATCGGCCGCCACTGGGACAGTTCCTCGCCGGATGACACCTTCGTCGGGCCGGAGACGCCGGAGGACGTCAAGCGGACGATCCACGCGCAGCTGCTGCCGGCGCTGGCCGAGGAGGACCGCTCGCTCCGTCTGCTGATCGTGCGTCCCATGGGGTTTCCCCTGTGCGATGGGGTTGGGGGGGGGGGGGGGGGGGGGGGGGCGGGGAGGCGAGGCTGGTGACCTCTTCTTTGCCCGCTCGGCTGCCCGTACATCGCGCTGGCTGTGAGTCGGGCTGGGCATTGCCCTGCTGCTCGCTGAGTCTGACACAAACGCTCACCCACGCCCACTCATCCACCCACCCACGCATTTCCAGGCCAACTTGATCGCCATCATCGCGGCGCACGACTGGCCCACCAACTGGCCGGAGCTCTGGCCCTTCCTGCTTTCCTCGCTGAAGTCCTACAGCTCGGCCACCGGCGAGGTGCCGGCCGTGTCCTACGGGTCGGTGTTCGCTCTATCCGGTGCGTGTGCCTCCTTCCGGGGCTGTCTCTCGTGCCGGCTCCATTGGTGGCCCTTTCGGAGGCCCTGCTCGCGTCGCATGGCGCGCCGCGCATTGCACGCCGCGCGCCGCCTGGCGGCCCAAGCCCCTCTCGCCTGCCCGTCTCACACGCGTGCGCCTGCTTGCTCAGAGTTCATCGACCAAATCCCGACGTCCCTCCTGCTGGAGATGGCGGCCGACCTGCTGCCCACCCTGCACGGCATTGTGGCCGACAACGCGGTGCGTCCCCGGGGGCCCGGGGCTCTTTTGGGTTTTCCCTGTGCCGCGCGACGGCCAGCGCGGGGGCCGCCCCCTTCGCCGAACTAAACTCCCTGTTGTTGCCCCTTCCCGCCGGGGCCCGGTCCGTGGACAGTGCCCGCTCCCCCTGCGCGCGCGCACTCTGCGCATCTTCGGCACCGTGTGCCAGGCCCTCTCGGCGCATCTGGACACCGACCGGTCGGTCATCAAGAACATCGCCACCACCTACTTCCCCAACTGGGTGGCCCTGCTGCAGGGGCTCTTGTGCGTGCTCCCCCCCCCCCCCCCCCCCCCCCCCCCCCCAGTGGGCCCCTTGCCGGCCGGTGACTGATGCTTTGCCCGGGGTGCGGCCTCTTCGGGTCCTCGGCGCGCCAGCCAAACCCTCTCGCCGGATTGCATTGCCGGCCATTCCGACAAGGATGGCCTCCTGCTGGAGGCGCTCCATGTGCTGGGCAACCTGTCGGAGAGCTTCCCCAAGCTGGTGGACGCCTCGCTGCCGACCTTCCTGCTGTATGTGGGCAACTTGCTGCTGAATCTGAAGACTCGGTGCGTGGGACGTCGCGCCATGCAGGGCTGGGGCACGGGCGGGAGGGGGCTGCGCCTGCCCCTGTCCTCTGGTTGCCATGTGCGCGGGGAGGGCACCCCTGTGGCCCGTACTGACCGGTTCTGCGCCTGCTGCGGGTGTGGGCCCATGCGCTGGCCCCATACGCGACCACCCTCCCCACATAAAATGAATGTACACACAGCTTCCGCGAGGAGATCCTCGAGTCCGAGGAGGCGTCCGTGTCTTCGAATGACGGGGACAACGTCAGCTTCTCGTACCTGCTGCAGTCGCTTATGGAGTTCTTCCAGGTGGCCTTCACCCGGTCGACCTTCCGCAAGCTCTTGCGCCCGGAGCTCCCGAACCTGGTGCCGGTGCTGCTGGAATACATGCAGATCAGCGACTCGAAGGTGCGCACTCCTCTTGCCCTTCTCCGTATGAGGGGCCGGGAAGCAGGCCAGACACTCCTCTGCTCCCTCTCTTTTTCTCTTTTCTCTTTTTCTCTCCCTCTTTCTCTTTTTCTCTTTTTCTCTTTTTCTCCCTCTCTTTTTCTCTCCCTCCCTCTCCCCCTCCCCCTCCCCCTCCCTCCGCCTGCATTCTTGTCAAAGGATTCTAACCATTGCCCGGGCTTGGCTGGGGGCATGTCGGTGCGCCCGCGCAGATCTCCCTCTGGCTTGAGGATCTGGAGGCCTTCCTGAGCGAGGACGACCCGGATACCTTTGCCTTCAGTTGCCGGATCACGGCCGAGCGCTTGCTCTTCTCCATGCTGTCCGGCACGACCGGGGCCTTCCAGCGGGCTGCCTGTCAGGCGGTGGTCACCTCGGCGCAGGAGATCGCCGGCCAGCAGCTCTCCCTGACCAAGTATGTGTTGCCATGGAGCGGGCCTTGCTCGCGTGGTGGCTGCCTCCCCCCATGCCCCGATGCCCCGATGCTGACAATGTGTATGCATGTGCTCGTGTGCCCCCTCTGGCTTGTGTCTCAGCTGGAAGCTCTTCGAGGCGTCGATGCTCATCATCGGCCGGTCATGCGAGGAGATCGCCGAGACCCTGCCCGAGCTGGATTTGGCCAGCTATGTGACGGCGGTGGTGCTGCCCTGTCTGCAGATCAAGGGTGCGCTTTTCGAGAGAGAGAGAGAGAGAGAGAGAAAGAGAGAGAGAGAGAGAGCACACGATGGGTGTATGACGCATGTGCGCATGTGTGCGCGAGGCGGGGGCGCTGGTTCCCGGGCTGGTGGCCTCTTTGCGTATGGCTGGCGGCTAACCCGGGACGCTTCCGGCCCGACCTGTCGGGCCCCCCTTGACAGAGCTCCCCTTCCTGAGTGGCCGTGCCCTTTGGCTGTCCAGTGAGCTGGCTGCCCATCTGCCCATTGGCCTGGCGGAGAAGATCTACGAGTACTCGATTGAGCGCTTGGACCCGGAGTTCCCGGTCCCCCTGCGCGTGGCGGCCCTGCGGGCGATTCACAAGTGCGTGGAGCAGGGTGTGGGGGACGTGTCGGTGTGGCCGTTGGGCCTGACCCGGGAGCTGCCCTTCCCAGGGGAGGCGCGGCAACCGATTGCCCGGCTGTCGGCTCTTTTCCGTGCTTCCTCTCTGCCCTCCTCCCTTTTTTTTTTTTTGGTGATCCTCCCCTGCCCCCGCTTACGCCATCTCCTCCTCTTCCCGATGCAGCTTCGTGGATATCATGGACCCGTCGCGCACGTCGGCGCACGCGGAGTTCCTCCTGCGCAACCTGCCGCTGCTCATCCACTCGATGTTTGATGGCGGTGCGGTGTCGATCGAGGCGCACACGAGCGACATGCACATCCTCATCCTGGACACGCTGCAGAGCATTGTCAACGTGCGTGCGCCTGGGGCCCGCCTGGCGTGTGTGTGTGTGTGTGTGTGTGTGTGTGTGTGTGTGTGTGTGTGTGTGTGTGTGTGTGTGTGTGTGTGTGTGTGTGTGGATGCTTGTCCTTTTGCTGGGGGCGGGAGGGGCGGCTTCTTGACCGTGTGTTTTGTGCTGGGGTATTGTGCTGACCAGGGGTGTTCCCCTTCCTCGCTTCCTCTTTCCCTGCTCTCCTTCGTTCCCTGTTTCTCCTCCTGCTCCTCTCCTGCTATCCTCGGGTGTGCAGTCCAATGTCCAATGTGCCGTGCGCCTGGGCACGGAGCTGGTCCAGCCGCTGCTGGATCTTTGGGTGAAGACCCGTTCGGATGTCATGATCGGGCCGCTGTACGTGGCCCTGATCGGGGCTCTGGTGCCGGAGAGCCTTCCGGTCAACGAGCTGGTGACTCGGGCCTCGTGCATGATCCTGTCGGAGTCGAGCCCGGATACGGAGGTCCTCCTGTCGGTGCGTGCGGTGGCGGCCGAGGGGCCTCCTACTTGAGGGCTTTCCCTTGTCGGGGTCCCATCTTGCTTTCTTTTTGTTCTTGCCCTCGCTCTCGCCCCCTCCCTCTCCCTTCCCCCTCCCTCTCCCTCCCCCCTTCTCGTGCCACATATGTTGGCCGCTCACTGACCTAGTGGCATTTTCCACTGCTGCACGCATGTCCAGTCGGCCTTCGAGCTGCTCGGGACATGCATTCGCCATGTGCCGCAAACGTCGGTGGATGACCTGCTGCAAGTGGCCCTGCCGGTGACGGTGGCCGTCATGAACAAGCACCTGGGGGACTCGTACATTCAGCAGCACTCGGCGTATGTGCTGCGGTATGCGCTGCACCGGTCGCCGCGGAGCCTGGCAAGCGTGCTGCTGGCGCCGGACATGAGCGTCCTGTCGGTGGCCGTGTCGCATGTGGTGGGCTTGCTGACGGCCGTGGAGCCGGGGCTTGGCAATGGCGGCGGGCCCGGGGCCGGCGGGGCGTCGGCCGGATCGGCCGGCAACTTGGATTACGTGGCGCCGGATGCCGGGGCCGGGGACGACACCTGCTCGCTGGCCCTGCCGGCCCTGTGTGTGCAGCTGATTCGCCGGCGCCAGGAGTGTGGCCTGGCCGATGGGGACCTGAACCGGCTGCTGGATGCGCTGCTGCTGCGCCTGGAGCGGCGTCCCTCGCGGGGCCTGCGCCAGCAGCTGGTGCTGGCCTTCGCGCGGCTGATCCTCTCAGATGCCGGGGCCACCACTGGCTTCCTGTCGGCCTGGCAGTCGTCGGCCACCGGGGCCAATGGGCTGGTGGTGCTGCTGGATGGGTGGTCCGCGACGGACTTCGACTCGGACCTGCACACGGTGCTCAGGTGCGTGTGGGGCATTTTCCTTTGCCATCCTCGCCTTCTTTTTTTTTCTTTTTTTTTCCCTTGGTCCCTGTCCCCCGGGGGGCCACCTCGCCCGGGGCCGGGGCCGGGGCCGGAGTGGGTGGGTGGCATGCGACTGACCTTCGGCTCGTGCACGCCGGGCCGTGTCGTCTGGGCCTGCCTTCGGCACTGGTGGTGGCGGTGGTGGTGGCGGTGGTGGTGGTGGTGGGGTGGCCACAGCGCCCGGGCCCTGGCCACGCTCATGAGCATGAAGATCTCCCCGCTGTACCAGATCCCGGTGTCTTACTCGTCGATCTTCGATGCCCCGGAGTCCAAGGGCAAGCGCGCCACGCGCTCGGCCAAGGCCAAGGGTGCGTGTACACTTGTGCGCATGCTTCTTTCTGGGAGGGGCCTTCGCGCGGCTGACTCCTCCGCTCCGCACCCCGGTGGTCCTCTGTCCCTGTGTCCCTGGTTTTGTGTCCGCCGGTGTGCCCCTTTTTTTTTGTCGCGCCCTGCTGGGCCATTTGCCTCCGCGCCCTCGCCCCATCGCATTTGTCGATATACCGTCACCCCCTCCCCCCCCCCCCCCCTTGGCATGGCCAGCCGCCAAGGAGACCGCCGTGGTCATCCCGGCGCAGTTCTGGGCCCTGAAGTCCCTGGTGACCACCGCGCACCTGGCCCTGCAGGAGCACACCCTGATCACCGGGAACCTGGCCCGGCAGAAGGACATCCTGCTGGGCGGCCAGGCGGCCGGCCGGGGCGCCGACAGCGATGACGAGCATTCCTCCGACAGCGACGGCTCCGACGAGGAGGGCGGCGGCTCGGGCATGCCCTCCTTCGAGGCGTCCACCGGGTCGCCCTTCTCCGACCCCAAGGCGCTGAGTTTCCTGGCCGGTGCGTGTGCCATGTGCCATATGTCCGACACATGCGTGGGCTGGCTCCCCTGTGTCCTTCTTTTCCGCCGGGGTTCTGACCGTGCCGCCACATATATATATATATATATGTATATCCATGACGATGGCATATGCACCACCCACCCACACGCGCACACGACATGCACACACCGCGGGCCGCATGGGTGTACACACCCCGGCGGACACACCCACACGGCAGAGTACGGCCTGAGCGAGGACTTCTTCGACAGCGACCCGATCGGCGGCGGGACCGACGCCTCGATTGACCAGGACTTCGATGTCTTCGAGTCGGATTTCGGCCCTGGCGCCCTGCCTGGCCTGCTGGTGCGTGCACACTTGCGCCCCATCCACGCTCTCTCCCCCCCCCCTTCCACAGCGAGGCGGTCGGTCGGGAAGAGAGCATGAGGACGGCGGAGGCGCGCGGCCCGCGCACGTGTGCGCTGAGCACCGCGGGCCGCAGCAGATGCAGCCTCCCCCCCCTCTTGGCCTGGCCGTTCAGCCACCCGCCGCCGGGGAGACGCAGGAAACCGCCCCCCCCCGGCCGGCGGACGCTCGACACTAACATGCACTATTTCGTCTCCGCGTTCCGCCCCGTGGTGTGCTGCCTCGCCCTGCCCCGTCCCCCCCCCCCCCCCCCCCCCCCGGGCATGTTGCCCTGCCTGCCTGCCTGCCATGCGCGTCGACTAATCCCCTGCCCGCTGCCGATGTGTTCGGTTTGCCCCCCCCCCCCCCCCCCCCCCCCGCCCCCCCCCCCGGCCTCACAGCCCGCCATGTTCGACATCTTCATCGGCCTCTCGAAGCAGGACATCTGCCAATCGACCCGCGAGTCGCTCACGGGCAGCGAGGTGGCGGCGATGACCAAGTTCTTCCAGGCTGCCAACGAGCAGCACGTGGCTGCTCCGGTCAGTGATAAGTGAAAATGGCGTTCGGCGGACGGGCGCCCCACGGCGTATCGTTGTAGATTGGCGCCGGTTCTGATGTGCGCCGGTTCTGGGATCTGGTTCTGGGGCGCGTTCCCCACAATCCCCGGCAGCCGGTTTGATGCTTGCCCGCGCGGCCGTGCGCCGGCAGGTAGCCCCCTCCCCCCCCCCCCCCCCCCGCCCCCCGTGCATGTGTGTATGTCTCTTGTTTTGTGTGTGCGGGCGCCAGCCACCACGCGCTGTGCGCACCTCTCCTCCCTCGCCACATGGGGCGCGTACACCTCTCCTTCGGAGTCCCGTGTATGGTCAATAAAAAAACCCGGCCCTTCCTCGCGTTGCACATGGGCTGGGCGCGTTCTCGATGGGTGTGCGGCGAGTTGGGCACCGTGCCCCCCCACCCCCCCCCGGGTCCGGGGGACGAGCGGCAAGGGCGCGCGCATATCATTGACACATTCCATTGCTGCTCGGGCAGGGCGTGGCCCGGGTCGGCACACTATCGCGTATCGCCACATCATACGGTCCTGGCAATCGAGCATCCGGCGACGGCGCCCCGACGAGATAGCTTGCCGGGGTGGTGTAATGATCTGGCGCTGGGCGCCGTGTCGATTGTGGGGGACGGGCCTGTGTGTGTGCGTGTGTAGGGGAGAGAGAGGGGGGGGCGGGGAGGGAGAGAGGGGTATGTACATGTGAGTGTGCGTGCGTGTGCTTACATATGCGTACGAGTGCGTGTGCGAGTGTCTGTGTCTGTGTGTCGGACATCGCCCGGTATGGCGAGGGTGCAGAGAGGCGCTGGAAGGGCAGGACGGTGGCGATGGGGGGCCGGAATTTATGTGCTCCCTGGCGCGCGCGCCTCCGGGCCCCCGGGCGAGTGTCGGGTGTGCTGTGGCATTGGGCCGCCACATTCCGCTCGGGACACGGCCCGGCAGCCAGGCCTGGATGGCGCCTGCCACAGGCGGGCGCGAGGGGGCGCGAGGGTGGCCAAAGGACTGGAAAGTAGGGGGCTGCCTGCGTGCCTGTGTGCGCCATGGCTGCCGCGCCGCTACGCTGCCTGGCGTTCCCCCCTGCCCGCCCGCCCCCCCCCCCTCCCTGCCGCCCCCCTGGGGTGGGCCGGGTCGTGGCCGGAGGGCGGCAGCCGATAAAAAGGAGATGCCATGACGCGGGTCAGCGTGGACCCTGTCCCAAAGGCCCGATTGCTAGTATTACGCTGCACACCATTGCATTTCCCTCGCACGCCTCTTCCCTGCCCTTCCTCCCTGCTGCGACCTTCGCCCGACGCGCGCACGCCTTGCCTTGTGGCCGCCCAGATCCCTGTCGCACAGCCCCTGTGCCCGCGCACCACATCGCCCTCCATCCCCACGCTCTTGCGCACGCGCAGCAGCACTAGAGACACACATACAAGCACCACCAGGTACGGCCCGTGCGCGCCTTGCTCTGTCCCGCGTGTATGGCCATGGGCGCAAGGCTTTTTTCTGCAAAGAACACGGCCACGCGCACGTGCAAGGCGGCGGCCGGCCCGGGCAAGTCCCGATGGTGTCGCCGGCGCCCAGTGGGTGTGGGACGCCCGCATGGCACCGGGCGTGACCTCTTCTCCACTTCCTAACCTCCGAGCCGCCGCCCTCCTCCCCCCCCCCCGCATGCCGCAACCACCGCACTGCTGGGTCGCTGTTTCCCGGGCGCCGCACGCGCACGCCCCCATGATGGTCCCCCCCCCCCCTCACCCCTGGTTGATCGACGTATACATGCAGCCTCCTCGAGAATGACCGGTGCGTTGTGAGGCGGCCTTTGCCCTTTCGCCCTGTGGCGCGGGCACCGGAAGCGGTCGCCCAGCGGGGGGCATGCACGCGCTCAGACACTCACCTGCTCTGCCCCTTTGTTGGCCACCCGTCCGCCCGCCGGAGGAAGACCTTCACATTGGACAGGACGCGCACCACGGCGAGGTGGCCACTTCGCCGACCCTGGCCGACCAGGACATGCCGGCATCCATTCGCAGCCTCAAGGAGGCGGTGATGGACGCCACCCGCCGCCAGGGCCTCCTGGTCCGGGAGGAGACATCGCGCGCGCTGGACGAGATGCTCGGCCGCGGCGCCGACACGGCGGCTGAGGGTGCGTGGGACGACGACTTAGCGCATTTGCCATGTGTCTGCAGGAAGGGGGAGGGCATCATCCATTTACGCGCGTGTGAGGCTGTCGAGCATGAAGTGGTGGCCGCTGCCCTCTTTTTGTCGGTGAGATGGGGGGGGGGCATGCTGGCGCATGAGGGCAACCTCGCTGACCGTGAGAGGCCCGGCGCCCCTTTCTTCTCGTTGACGTGTGTGTATATGTGTGTGTGTGTGTGTGCATCGGCGGGTGAATGGGCGCCGTGTACCACACCCCACCAGCCGCCTCGACCCCGGACCATGAGGATGGCCACGACGGCGCCGACACCAACGTCCCCGGCACCGAGGCCGACTTGGCCACGGCCAACACCAATGACGGGGCGACGCCGTCATGCTGCTCGGCGCGCCCGGCCGAGGCCCAGGCGGACGCGGCGCACGAGGAGGACGCCCATGGCGGCGCGACCACCGACCACGAGACGACCACCTCGGAGAGCGGCGCACTTCACCCGAGTGAGGAGACCACGTCGCCGCTGGTGGGCACCGGGCAGCCGGGCGAGCTCGACGGGCTGGAGCGCAGCGACACGGCCGACGCCTCGCTGCCGGGCGGCCAGACACCCGAGCCCATGCGCCCGATGGACACGGCGGCGGCGGCCGCCGCCGCCGCCGAGAACAACCCGGCCGCGGAGCTGGCTGCCCCGGCCGACTCGGACAACAATGCCGAGCCCGAGGAGGAGCCGCTGGTGGCTGGGGGCCGTGTGCCGGGGGCGGACGCCCAGCCGGCCGGGGCCGGGCCCGGGGCCGAGGCCGAGTCGGTGCCCGCCACGCCGGGCTGCTGCGACACCATGACCGACGCGGCTGATGCCGAGAACGCCGACGAGCCGGAGCCCCACCCGAAGGGCCCCCTGGCGCCGGGCTTCCTGGCCACCTTCATTCGCGAGCGGCTGGCCCGCGAGACCAACAAGCGCCGGCGGAGCCCGAGCCCGCGGTCGGACACCAAGCACGAGGTCCAGGCCGAGCTGGTGGGGTTCTCCTCGTACCCGGAGCAGGTCCAGCGGGTGGCCCGGAAGGAGGGCTTCGCCCTGAACATCATGATTGCTGG